GGGGGGGGGTGGTAAGACTGTGGCGTGGCAAGACTGTGGCGTGCTTACACTGTAGGTGCGCCACATTTGAGGGTGCGGGGGTGCTAGTGGAGTGTCACAGATGGGGCGGCTTTAGCCCCCTTAGCAACCCCCCTTCCCGCGTCCATTCGCGATGTCTCGCTGTCTCGCAGCAAACACGAAACCACACCAGTAAGCCAGCTCACACTGTCAGCTCCTCGCAGCAGCGAGCCAGTGGGCGAGCTGACCAATTAGAGCAACAAGGCGTGTAGGACAGAGAGTGAATACACACACTATACAGAGATGCTGTATGAGAAAACCAATATGAGTTTGGAAAATTGCACAATAAATATCTATTCTAGTATACCTCAACAATGGAGTTATAATCAGTAGAAATGGCCATGACATGGGACCTTTAAGAATCCAATGCCTTGATGTCAGGGTTTAAGGGTTGAACAAAGACCTGGGCCTGGTTACAGTCATGATGAAATAAGTTATGGACCACAAGATATACCATATGGTACATATTCTGCGATGAGTAAATCTATCAAAAACAGACAAAGGCACCGATGTACGTGACAAGCGTTTCCAGATGTTTACTTAAATTGGTTACAGGTAAAGGAAAGATATTGTTAACAGGTTATCTTAGCATTTTGGAGAATACGAAACAATAGAAGAGTGTTTTGAATTGGAGGGAAGATAATCGTCAAATAATAATGTCCCTGTTAAACCTGTATGCTTTCTGGTTAGACTAGTAGACAGCATATTATTCAACACCCCGACACAGAGGAGCCACACAATTATATTAATATGTAAGTAAAGTGTTAAGAGTTTGTTGCTAACCGCACACTAAATCACATGTGCCGGCTTTATACAACCCAAAGCCATGTATAGCTTCAATGTGCTGAGGTTGCGGATCACTCACAAATAAATCTATTTAAGGCCATACAATGTGTTGTTCCAAACCCCATTTGACCTACTGCTATCAGATTAGCATCAGTGTAAAATGCAGCCTCATGTCGGGGAGGAAGTATTTGACTTTTAAGTTTCCTCAGTGTCAAAAGAACCATGCCCCAACGATTCATGTTAAGGATTTTAATAGAGCACAAAGGCAGAAATGCTGACGCTGATCAAAACGCATGGACCACAATCTGGGACTTTTATGGCACAGGAAGTGATAAAACTCCAAATCCATCCCATCTGCTGGAAAACCTGGTTCTGTTTCAGCTGGAGCATGGAGGGTTTTCATCACTCAAGTCTCACGAGTTGAAGGCAGATATACTTTTGTTGGCAGTTCTTCTGGGAGCTATGATGATGGACAAAGATTCAGCAGGTTTGCTCTGAGAATGACTAATAAGAGCCAAACAGGGGATCTAAAATTAAAGCTAGAAAGATGGTAGATAGAAGGCTGCAGCAGTAGGAACGACCTGCCTGACGTGTCTGTTTGTATAAAAATAGAGTTAAAAGATATTTCAAGTATTTTGTATGTGGTGTAACCATGAGGGGAGAGTGGAGAGAGGCAGATCATATATCTTATCTTCCAAACAGATCAAACTGTCACCTGTTGCTACATAACTGCCTATAATCATCTCACACAGCTTCTAACTGCCAAATTGAGCCCAATGCCCCTTTGACCCAGTCTCTCTTCTGTTTGAGTGACACTTCTGTTCCCCAATGTCCTCAGGCTGCTGTGTGTTGTGGTGACTTTACACTCTGCTGAGCTGTTTGGGAAATGATAGTCCTTCCTGCAGGATTCTTTTAGCAGTCGGACCAGAAGCTACAGGCTTGGTTTACTTTGTAGATACTTAGAGCGAAGGGAGAAGATTAGTGGCCAAAAGAGAGCTCTTGCTTTGTCACAAATCCTTCATAAGGCAATTCTACTGTATCCGGATACATATCAAGTTGCACATTTCCAGCATGTCTCTACTGACCAGAGCGCAGAGCAGATCCACCGCCTCCAGCACCAGCTCCTGGTGTCCGATCCTGGCCACGCCGAGCTCCTCCAGGTCTTGATGCGTGATCTTCAGCAGCTGCTCCCCGCTGATCTTCTCCCGCTCAAAGTTGGTCACATACTGCTGCAGGTTGTCATCCAAACCTGGACACAGAAGGCAAATACTCATTAGACGAACATTCAACATAGAGATCAGCGCGCAACTTTACAAAGGGTTAGCTCAACTGTAATTTGCAAGCGCTCTTTGTCATAATGCAAAGGCTGGAACAGACGCCACCTGAACTAATGGATCCGTCATTTGTATTAGCATGTGTGCATGTGAGTGTGTATGTACAGTGCAGACAAGGAACAGGTGGGACTGCTATCTTCGCTAGACAAACACAACACAAACAGAGTGACGGTTGAGACCTTTAAGTCTGTTGGCTGGTTAAACAATGGATGGCTATATTTGTGAGTGTGCATGTGTTTCAATAAACCATTGCCAGGGGCCGCCTCTTGCTACTATTTGGAGCACCAAGAACAAATGACAGACCGTTACACCAGCAACTGCTCTGCTCATTAAACACACAAGGATATGACTCTCGTGGCTTTAGCGTCCTCTTATAGAGTAGATGACAGTATAAAGCCATAAAGAAACTCAGAAACATGCCCTCCCTATCTAGCAATGTTTCCCTCAGTGGGTCTTGGAGTGTTGAGACAACATAGTTGAGAACAAGTGTTGTTTTGTGTGTGAGTCCAGCTATGGGTGTAGCAGTAAACGCCATCTTTCTCCCCATCAAAGAGTGCACAGAGAGGGGGCAGCTGCAGATACATGGCCCTGCGCCCTGCTTTAATGAAAGACCTGTCAGCTGGAATACACACTCAATCCCTCTGAGCGTAACTCACACACACAGCCTTACATATAATATTCTCCAGTGTGTAACAGGGTTTGGCCGATCCATTTAAGTGAGCCGTTTAAGTAACACAAATATTCACTTTTATGGGAGAATGTAACTCAACAGCAGCCAAATAAAATGTAGCTGCCTGCGAGTGAAGTCTCACTGGGTGTGTTCTCTGGTCACCGAGACATTTTTGTCAATGGCTCCAAATGTCTTCATTCCTCTGTGACACTCAGTCTAAACACGTGTTGCAAAGGGTATGCGGAGAAGGTGATACTGCATGAGTGTGCGGGTGTGTTTATGTGTTTGCCATGGTAGGGAAAATGATGACCGAACAAGATTCGACTGCATGTTTCAGAGCACAAGATTATACATAAAGACAACTCACGACCCACACTGCTTCATCTTGTCAGGACCTATGCATATCCTTAAATTTATTTTCAATCAACACTGCAACACCAATCCTGTATTATACAATAATGTTTTATTCTGTTGATCAGCTGATATAAAATGCACAGAAATAATACAATTAAGTCTTAGACAAACTTTTATTAGACTTCAAAAATGTCCTGAAAGCTTATTTTCTCAAATTTGTTTCTAACAATGATTATTCTTCTGCCGAAGTTGGCATAATTTTGACTATTTCATATTATAAATGTATTTATGTCTCGGTTTGCTCACCCGCTGGTTGATTCCTTGACTTTTCAGTAATGCAGCCCTTTCTGGTTATTGTTCTCTAGAAATGGACATCATCACAGTAATACTTCCCAAAGTTCCCATCAGAATATTTTTGAATCGTAGGCCATGGTCTCACACTTTATCCCTTCAAAGCCATTACAATTCCATTATGCCATCAAAGTTCAACATGAGAGCATTCTACACCCTTGAGAAAATATCTGTGAGAACTCCAGTCACCTCCACAGAATCAAAGGGAAATTCCATCATGGCTTGTTATTAACCATTAGCCTCTGCGCAAGTCAGGTCCAGTTAGGCTCATTGGATTTTTCTCATTCCTGGCATGCTAATTCAGAAACAAGAATTTTAAGCTTAATCCCTGACTGGCCAACACCAAGGGATTGTAAGACTTTAAGGAACCGAGTGATGGCCTGAACCCACGACAACTCAAACAACCCAAACACAAACGCTGGGCCAGCCTTTTACTGCCATCAGATAAACAAAAAGACTTGGACCCAGAGGGGGCAACGTTTCTCCTTCCTGCTGTGTTAAAAGGCATTTCCTGTAACACGGTGCCACCCTTTTTCACTAACCAGAAGAAGAAGAAAGGGCAGAAGGGAAACTTGTGGTTCAGCTTACAATAAGTCTCGCTGAAGCTTTCACAGCGTGTTTTTTAAATTGGTTGTTCTAAAACCACACAATATCATGCAGAGTGGCTAGATATGGGAAAACAGTCTGGAAAGAAATAGTGGTAGGAATTAATCTGAACCCACTAATTGACGAATGAGGGGCCCCTCCTATCCTCGAGGCCGTTTCATTCATTAACATTCATTCATTGTCAAGTGTTTTTCTTCCCACATATCTTCTGTTATTCTACAAGTCTGACTTCAGAGGGTTTAGAAATGCCAGGTCATTCTAGGGTCAAAACTAATATGCATTAGTATTGAATTGGAACAATTTAAAGTGTGTTTATGTGCCGTAGAGAAAGACACCCACCATTTTAATGGTACCAATGATTGAGGATGGGGGTTAGATGTGTGCAACACATGAAAAAGTATTATTCTCCTACTGAATTCAGGAAGGTACCACAGCAATCTTTCCCTCTGGACTCAACCATTGACACCTTCTGAATAAAAGAGGGGTGTCCTTACATTGGGGCTTATAAAACATTTATTGGGCCTGGATCAATGGCAGCTTGGGTGTGTGTATGTGTGTGAGACTATCCATTCTCATTAAAGGTAGAGTAACCAGTAAAGGAGATAAGAGTGTCACGTTATTGTGAATTGAGCAGGGTGGGGGGGGGCACAAGGGAGGACTGTGTGAATACTCTTCAAAGCCAGCAAAGGATGAAACGCTTTGGAGTTTTATGACCTCTGTGAAACGCTTGGCAAATGTGTTCAAACCAGAGCAAGTGGGTGTGACTGTTTAACACAGACACACACACTCACACAGCACCAATGCCATATGCAATCGCATTGACAAAAAGATTGACAAACATCCATTGACCCGCAAACTTCAATGTGATTACAAATGACTGTAAAATGGACTGATATGTCACTTGTGACAAGTTATACTACACATAAAAAAGCATGGTACAACGTAGCAATTAACAACAAAAACATTGATCCCATTGAAGAGTTAAAGTTTCCTGAATGATAAAAAGAAAACTGGAAAACACTCAATTAGTGACAGTTTATACGATTTTAAAGTTAATATTTTTGGAATAGGGACTGAAAGTCTTATAAAAAAGGTGCAATTTGAAGATGTCACCTTGGGATCAGGGAAATCATGAAGGACAAATGGAGTATATTAGGACTATGAAAAAAAAAGGGCAAAAATGTTCCTGTAAATAACTGTGCAAACTCATCTGCAATATACCGTCGCGCAATTTACACTTTATTTTCTTTTGAATTTATTTATCTGTAAACAGTACCAGCTACTTTGAATTTTTTTTTACCATGTTATACTTGTTTATCATTTGTATTTACTCATTTTGTTTTTCTATTACAAAATAACATGTGCCTTCTATTAACCTGCACTATACGCCTGCTGTTGTAATGGCGCACATTTCCCCATTGCAGGACAAATAAAGGAATTCTGATTCTGAACTTCATTAATGTTATAGTCTAAGAAATCCAGGAATAATATTTTTGATAAGATGAGGCGCGTTCACACCGCGGTACTTTTCCAACTTTAGTCCCGATATAGTTCCGAAATGTCGCGTTCACACCAAAAAGCCCCAGGAACTAAATTAGTTCATGAGAACCTTTTTACCCCCTTTTCCATCCCTGCTAGAGAGCAGGGACTTTCGTTGGAGAAAAAGGTTCCTATTTCTGATTGGCTGGGCGGATTGCAAACCACGCCCCGTAAACGTAAAAAGGTTTTGTGAGGCCGCCATTTAATTATCCTGGCATTAGCATTATTGGCATTAGCATTAGCGTTAGCCCAGCGCACAAACGCAGAGAGACTAACTTATGGCAACACAAAAGAAAACATGGGAGCGGTGGAGATGAGGAGGTGTCAGCGTTTCTGGCGATTTACCCGCAGGCTTCAGCTGGAAGTCCAAGCAGCTTCTACTGAAGCCAGTCCCCAACTCCGGGGACTTCCGGCCGGGGACTTCGGGTGGCAGTATACGCCGTGAAGTGGTTTGCGGCCTGCCAGTAAACCCAAAGCAGCAGAAGAAGAAGTGACGTCAGCGGCTTCATTTGCCTAATCCTCCCCCAGGAACTTATTACGGTGTGAACGCGATCTGTACTTAGTTCATGAAAACTAAAGAGTTCTCATGAACTAAGTTCTGATTAACCTTAGTGGGAAAAGTACTGTGGTGTGAAAGCGCCTAATGGTCTGACAGTCCCAAAGATCTTCCATGCATTAGGAGGAAGAGGGCATCTGAACGAAATGTGTCTACGTCTGTGTCCGATAAACAAACACAGAATAGGAGGTGTGACTCATTATGGCACCTGCTGTTCACTGTGGGGTCTTTCTTACCACCCACCACCTCCCATTCAGTAAACAGTTATTATGTGTAGAACAGGTTATCAAAGCAACAGTTTTGGTATATAGTGGATGCTCGTACACACAGGCATATTTCTGGACAGCTGGGAAAGCAAGAACCCCAGATTCGGCAGTTTGGACGCAACAAGTGCAACCAGACCCTGTTGGGGGGCTCGGAGCTGTGCAGCCTACTTAAAGGCTGTGTAAGCACACATTTTTGGCAATGTAAACAACAGAACCCTTCCGCTTGCAAATGGCCGATCTATTCTTGTCATAATCTCAACAGTTCCCATCTGTACAGACGCACGAAGACAGCAGATTGAGTTGAGTGTGGCCAAGTACATGTAAAATCCATTGAGTTTGTTTGGTGAAAAAGTAATAAGATCTGGTTTGAACATGAAGTTCTATACTAGTCCAGCGCTTTGTCGCATCTATGATCAATTTTGGTCAACAAAGCTTTCCATGCAGCTTTTGGTTGCCAACTTTTCCGTTCTCAGGGGTTTGATTACACACGAAAACAGCGCACAGTCTTTCACCTCCTACAGGGAGAACCAAACAAGCTCCCTCCTCTTCACCTCCCCCATCTCTCAACCCCTC